ATATATATATAGCTTGAGACACAGAGGGAATAGAAATGCCTATTCTTTTAATATAATTACATTTTTACCTAGTCTGCAGTTCTGTGTCCATTCTGGAGAAGAGAATACTAAAAATCATGTAAAATTTTCAGAGTACATCTCTGACTTTTAATCAATGATTAATTTAAAGGATATATATATATATATCAGGATCACACCAAGGGAACAGGGAATTGTTTCCTTGAACATGCTCAGAATACTTCCTTACCTCACCACAATTCTTGTGGTAACCACAATAATATAGATTTCTGCCTAAATATGTTCAAGTGATTGACACTATGGATTTCAACCCATGGCAGTATTTGACTGGAAATCACTGATGGCTATCAGAAAATAGATTAAAACAGTTAGTTAACTAATTTATAAACCCGACTTTGGAAATTGCTCAATCTTCCTCACAGGAAAGGTAGATTAAGAAAAGACAATTCTAGTCCATTTAGTCCATGGTGTAAAAAAAAAAAATATATATATATATATATATATCTATATATATACAGTGTTTTGGAGAGCCGGCAGATGGCGTGGTATTTAAGAGCACTGGACTCCCACATGGCTGGGCATGGTTCAGTTCCTGGACCTCGTGGCTTGCTTTCTCATTTTCCCTCTCTCTCTCACTCTGTCCCTCTGGTCAAATGAAAATAAATACATAAAGTTAAATAAAACAGCAATTAAAAAAATTACAAACCGTGTTGTGGGATAAATAAATAAATGGATAAATAAAGTTAAAAATATATATGTATGTATAATATAATGCATATATATTATATATAATATGTATATACATGTGTATGGTTAAGGCAGCTGGATCCCACATGACCAATAGTGTGGTTCAAGTCCTTGGATCCAGGGGCTTGAAAAAAACATGCCAGACATGTGCATGCATGCCCAAAATCTCAAGAGGAGAATGGAGAAGGGACTGTGGCATAACCCTCCTCCCTGGAGGCGAGGGGGGTGATTTCTTCTTACTTTCCCTGTCTCTCTCTGTCCCTCTCTGTGTCTGTCTCTGTCTGGTGAGTATACACACCCTATAGCAAAGCTTTAAAAAAAATTATAGTGTTAAGCACTCCCTGCTCAAAAGTCTCATCTAAAGAGGCCAAAAGTTCTGATGATGATAGGCTTTTCTTGATCATAGTCTTTTGCCTTTTGGCCTTGGATCCTTGACAATATGGATAAATAGTGGTTGTTTTCTTACATTTTTAAGGCTTTACGGAGGTAGGTGAGCTCTATTCAAGTAAATGCCAGTGGTTCCTTGGAAGCTGAAACATAGGCTTCCTAAAATATAATAAGGAAGTTAGATTTGGTAGTGTACACCTATAGTCCCAGCCACTCAGGAGGCTGAGCAAGAGGATTGAGAGATCGAGGCCAGTCTGGGTAACGTTGTTAAGACACTTCTAATTTTAACACACGCCCACACCATACACTCCCAGTGGGGGTGTTCTTGTATCTCAACTTCTTTAGGATGAGGGAGCAAAAACTTCGACAATAGCTGTCATTATACTATAATTACCTCTGATTTGTGAATTTCACCATTATTAATAGGCAAAACTAGATGGTGGAAGACAACAGTGGAGACCGGTCCTCATGGCTGTGACGGAAAAAGATTTGCTGCTATATGACTGTATGCCATGGACAAGAGATGCCTGGGCATCACCGTGTCATAGCTACCCTCTTGTTGCCACAAGGTAAGACTAAAGACAAACACATAAAACATTTATCCGCCCTTAGGTCTACTACAGAATTTTTCAAGGGAATTTTATTATCCTAAGTGCCTAAAATAGCACTTAAGTAGCTGATGTAGTTGATATAGATAGAAACTTTGCTTTCAAAATCTTATTCATCATTTCGCAGCATCTAGCTCAGTATAAATTGTTTCTGTCACTAAATGTTGTGTATACTCTTTAACTTTGTTGAAGCAGCTTCCTAATTGCTTCCTTCAAGACTTGCTTAGTCATGAAAATAATAGACTTTCTTTACTTTATTGACTGTGACTAGAAAGTCACTGAAATTGTGGCAACTTTTGACTGAGTGATGAAATCATTTAAACCAGAATGTGGTACTGTGGCTGTACCACACAACTTGCACACAGTATTCTCAATTTCTCTTTCTAACATATGAGCACATAGTTTTGGTTCTATCAAATAAACTTTGATTTGACCTGAAGTGATAAAATGTTTCCAGCATGCCAGATGTAGGGAGTTGGCAGGGAAAACAATGGAGAAATTTAGATTTGTAGGCCAGTGTACCTTATGGGACAATAACTCTGAAACTAGGAAATATATCCAAATTCAATTTTATTTAGGCTTAAAAAGGAACCAGTTGTTGATGTAACTAAGAAACAGCACATTAAAATGGAGCCCCACAGAAAAGTATTTGGTATTCATAAGAACTAAATGATGGAGCCATCTTGTATGTCACATTAGGAATAATGTGGAGGTTTCTTGTTTTGAGCAAAGATTAGTGGTGCCTGCAGATGGCATAGCGGTTGTCACTGGACTCCCACATGACTGACAGTGGTTTGAGGCCTGGACCCAGGGGCTTGAAACATGCCGGGCAGATGTGCGTGTGTGTCCAAGATCCCAGGAGAAGGGACTGCGGCATGACCATCTTCCCTGGGGGGTGATTTTTCACTTTCCCACTATGGTCTCTGTCTCTCTCTAGCAAGTGCACATGCCTTAAGGCAAAAACCTCTACAAAAAAGATTAGTGTAAGAAAGATATTCTTTTTAAAATAATAATTATTTTATTTAAGTTTATTATTATTATTATTACTATTTTCCAATTTGATAAGAGAGAGAGAGAGAAAGTGAGTTAGCAAGCCACCAGTCCAGGACTCAAACCATGGTCGACCATGTGGGAGTCCAGTGCCTTTAACCACCACACCATCTGCCAGCTCCAGAAAGAATATTCTTTGTAGTATAGGAAGACTTTCACTTTATATAGGAATTCCTTCAGCTTTCTAAGTTCCCTTACATTTATCATTCTTCTCATAATTAATAATATAATTTTGACCTACCTCATGGATTATGTCTATAATTTAGATATGGATCTGGTAGATCACAGAATACAGATAAAGGATTTGTTGAGCCTCAGGATTAGCTGTGCCTTCATTAATTCTTTCAAGATGGAAGAGTCTTACAGAAAGACTGAATTTTTTTTTTCTTTATTCATGATTGAGCATGTGCACATGCTCATGAGAATAATAGAGAAAGAGAGAGAGAGAGATGAGCACCACCAGCCACAGGGCCTAGTCACACTGTGGTCCCCTTCCTCCACTCCTCAGCCCGTTGGATCTTGGGCACTTGCCCAATGTGCTCCAGGCTGAGTAGGCCATGGATTCATACTGTGTTCACCACAGTATGGTCTGACTTCTCTTGACCAGTGCACGACTCTACACCATGGAGCCAGTCAGGAAATACTGAATTAAACCATACGTTTCTCTGGAGTTCTTATTTTCCCATACCACCTTGAAGTCAGAAACTATCATTTAGTTATCTCAATTCTAAACTTCCAACAATGTTTTGCACATAGTAGACTCCCAATAAATCTTGGTTGAGTAAAATTACTTAAGTTATAGTTTCTCTGTCACAGTAACATGAGACTATGACATGAATCCTACAAAAACATGCAGACATGTCTCCGTAATTATAATTTGAACAATTAGATTTAAATTTTCCAGGGTCAACCTTGTAACTAGTAGTTAAACCATGTCATAGAGATCTGTATCTCATATGGCCAACCATGGATTCAAATTCTGGCCCTAGTGGCTTGAAAAATATTCTAGGCATGTGTGCATGTATGCCCTAAATCCTGACAGGATGAAGAAGTGAAGGAAAAAAGATTACAGTGTGATCATACCCCTTGTGGGGGTGCTTTTCTCTCTCTCTTGCTCACTTACCCTTTCTCTCTCTCTTTCTCTTTCCCTCTGTTTGGTGTGGGAATGTGCCCTCTGGTAATTAAAAAAATGTTTTTGGTTTTTTAGAGGTTTTTGGCTTAGGGCACATGCACTCGCTGGAGAGAGAGACAGAGACAGTGAAAGGGTAAGTGAGAAATCACCCCTTGGGGAGATGGCAATGCCACATTCCTTCTCCTCTGGTCTCCTCCTGAGATATTTGGCATGCACACACCCGTGACCAGCGTGAGTTTATGCTACCGGATTTTGTAACCACTGTCAACCATGTGGGAGTCCAGTGAGTTGACTGTTATGCCATCTGCTGGACCCATTAACATATGTTTTTTAAATTGAAAAAAATTTTATTTTCCAAAGAACATTTAGTTTAGGAATATGACCATGAAGGTCTACTCAGTTTAAATTTGGTGGAAAAAGCTTAACTCGAGTTCTGATCATAAAGTACAAGGAAAGTAGTTTTATGATTAGACATTTTAAAACTTATGTATCATTGGAGGGATGGGGCAGAATTTTAGTATTCCCATATATGAGCCTTGGTTGTGTTATTAATTGTCATTTATTTGTTTGTTTATTTGTTTATTTATTTGAAGTTGACCAGAGAGAGACAGAAAGAGAGAAGGAAGGTGAGAAAGCAAGCTGCCAGATACAGAATTCAAACTACAGTCAGCCGTATGAGAGTCCAGCCACCTTAACCACCTGCCATTTGCCGGCCCTGCGTACTAGAAATCTTAATCTCACAGTTTTCAGTCATAGGCTAGACCACGCTTAAACCACCAAAGCACTATGGTACTAAAGAAGGAAACGAGGTGATTGCGTATGTACTATCAGCGTGGCATCAGTTTGTAGCTAAGGGAAAAATATAGACAGGATTTTAGAAGTAAAACTCCTAGAAGAAAATGAAGAGTAGACCTTCATGAATTTGGGCTGAATAGAGCCTTAGGTATGACACTAAGCACAAGTAACAAGAGAAAAGATTGATAAATTGGACTTCAGAAAGTGAGAAATCACCACCCAGGGGTGATGACCACACCACAGTCCCTTCTCTTCCAGTCTCCTCTCAGGATTTTGGGTGCACACACGTACCTTGAGTGTTTCAAGCTATCAGGTCTGGGACTCAAACCATGGTCAGCCATGTGGAAATCCAGCGACGTAACCACTATGTCATCTGCTGGTCCCAGCTGCTGTAATTTTAATAATTATTTAATATGTGAAAATTTCTTTATTTTTTATTTTTTTATTTTTTGCTATAGGGCATGTGCACTCACTGGAAAGAAAACACAAGGGATGGCCACACCACAGTCCTTCTTTAGTCTAGGGTTTTGGGGCATGCACACACATGTGCCTGGTGTGGTTTTTTTAAGCCACCAAGGCCGGGATTTGGACTGCAGTATGCCATGTGGGATCCGACTGCCTTAATCACTACACCCACTGGCTGACCCAAAAGGTAAAAATTCTGTCAATGAAGAATTCTAGGTAAAAAGTTTAATAGCTGGTTTAGTCTGGCCATCGGTAAGAGAGGAGCTCCTGTTACTGCTTTTTAAAAGAAGTACATGTTTCGGGGCCAGCGAGTGGCATGGTGGTTAAAGGCACTGGACTCCCACATGGCTGACCACGGTTCAAGTCTCAGAACTGGTGGCTTACTTTCTCACTTCCTCTCTTTCTCTCTCTCTCTCTCTGTCTCTCTCTGATCAAACTGGAAAATAATAATGATAATAATAAATAAAAAAAGTTAAATAAAATACTTCTTTAAAAAAAAGTAGTACATGTTTCATGTTAAATATGAAAAAATTTAAGTCTATTATTTGGATCAACCTAGATATGCAAATTAAACTGTCCACTAATTAAATAGGTGGGTCTCGTAGCTCTCTAAACATGTTGTTTCTTAATAGCATAATTAATGTAACAGCAGGGATTCTTCTTGTTTGGAAAGTATTGATGGATTAGGATCAAAGATGACAGGCAGACAAGAGGTCTTGTTTATCCATGTGGCCACATTGGCCAGGTCGAATTGGTTGAAGGCTCTGCATGATGGAAATAAATGCAGCTTAAACACGCTGTACCAACAGGGGGTAGAGGATAGCCACTGAAAGAAACCAGAGGGTGAAACCAGACCAGGAGGTATCCCACAGAGGGAGGCAAAGCCAGAAAATGGTTTTCTTGTGCCTTTTTAGAAAAAAAAGGCAGGGTTTGAGATTTATGTGAGTAATGAGAAAGAACTGATTGTTTAGTTTCCCTAAATCTGTTTCTAAGACTTTGGGACATTTGCTTTTGAGTGTATGAAACAAGAAAGAAAAAAAAAAGCATAAACACAAAAAGGAAAGAAAAGTGGGACCAGCAGTTAGCGTAATGGCTAGTCACTGGACTCCCACATAGACGACCGCGGGTCGTGTCCTGGACCCAATGGCTTTAAAATCACGCCGGGCACGTGTGCGTACGTGCCCAAGATCCCGACAGGAGAATGGAGGAGAAGGGCCTGCGTCATGACCATCCCCCTGGGGGTCTGTCTGGTGAGCGCACGTGCCCTATAGCGAAAATCTCTCCAAAGGGAAAAAAAAAAGGGGAACAAAAAGTAATGAAAGACATTGCGTAGCCATGAAAGTAGATAGTGCCTGATAAATTAAGTATTTGTTGTATTTCCAAATCAGATGACATTGTCACTGTAATGTAAATTAATCTAAGTTACCATAATACTGGGTTGCACATGCATACATTCTTGGGAACTAAAGCTTTGTGTGTGTGTGTGTGTGTGTGTGTGTGTTTTCTCTTAATAGCTGAT